AAGGTGGTTGTGGAGCTGTAAACACAGGCACCAGTCACTGATTATTAACTTTTGAACTCTGTGGTTGCTGTAGTATTGATGATGGAGCAGTAGTGATGGAGGCGAGGATGATCTAGACTCACCAGCTCCAACACTGACGGAGACACAGCGGAGTTCTGACTGGTACTTCACTGACCTGTCACACAACACAACAGGACACAACAACAGCTTCAATAGTTAAAGGTTCAATAAGTTCATTCTTGACTCCAGCCTTTCACTGATGCTGTTTTCACCGTTTCTCTCAGCTGCAGCTCATGAGTTTATGTACAGACATGCACTAAAGTGGACACCTTTTTTGTCCACACCTGTTTCTTTCTAATACAACAACTGTGTTGTGGTTGTTCAGGCAGACCGGTCAGAGAGAACCCCCCCTAGATCAGGGTAAGATACTGACTTGAGAACAGCCTGCACCACAAAGCAGACAGCGTGGCTTTCTTTGTCCTGATCTGGAGACGGCGTCCATCGGAGCAGGTAGTGACCGGTTGCCACCGTGGTCTGGTTCAGGTAATGTGGTCCACTGAAGAGAAGCTCAGAGATCCTGTGTTGGACATAGACACAAGGAGCATCTCAGTGTAAAGTGGACATCAGGTTGTTGGGTTTCTTTGTACGTACATGGATATATTAGCTTCAGCCTTGATGCTAATCTCCAGAGTCTTGTTGACAGGGGCGTAGAGGTGAGCTCTGTGGCCTGGGGTTGGAGGCAAGAATGTGGGTAAAAACAGTCCTTCCGTGCAGGATGGAACAGCAGGATCCACTGGAGCGGAAGGGAAAGACAAAAGCCAAAGTTCAGACACTGTGGAGTCGTAAACTGACAAACATGAGTCACGGTTAGATCTAAACTAACCTCTGAAGACAAAGAGTATGGGTACTTTGCTGATGGGGATGTCTGTACTAATTGTTGTCAGTTTCCCATTGTCTTCCAACAAGGTGATGGTGCCTGAAGGTGTCAAAGAATGTCTGGGGAAGTCCTCCATCATCATTTGGACCGCATACACACCTTCATTTGTCCAACTGGTGGAGTTGAACCACAGAGTACATGACTGCAGAAGAAGAATTTAACACCATTTTCACAAGAAAATCAACTGGAGATAAAGTGTGTGTTACAGCTTAGTCTCTGTGAGCTGAAATCACAGATTTTCTCTGTGGACTTTGGTCTGTGAGCTAAAATCACTGA